AAGCAGATTTTGAAGGTATAAGCGTATTTGGAAAAGAATTTAAATTATCCCAACCAGCAGATGATACAACTATTTTACTTAAAATAATTTAGAAATATTAAAAGCAGTTAACTGTGTAAAATAATTTTCCTTAGTATCATTAGGTCTTAAAATGAATATTAATAAATCTGTGTTATTTCCAATTAAATCATGCAATTCGACAGAATTACATAGTATTTCTTTTAAAGATACAGTTACATATTTAGGGGTTGTCATTCATAAAGAAGAAAATGAAGGTAATAAGCTTAATTTTCAACCCATAATAAATAAAACTAAGACTAGATTTAATATCTTGCTTCAAAGAGATTTATCCCTGATGGTAGATTTTTACTGTCCAAAGCAGAAGGAATATTAAGATCTGTCTATGTGTCTTTAGCTTTAGAGATGCCATCAAATACAGAATTAGACAAAATACTATTTAATTTTTTTATGGAGAGATAGACATCGCTATTTAAGAAAGAAAATTATGTGTCAACAAAAATGCAATGGTGAGTTATCTGTGTTACGTTTTGAAACTTTAAACAATACATTCAAAATGAATTGGTTAATTAAATTCATGAAAGAAAAGGAAAGTATGTGGTATACTTTTCCAAAACATATATTTGACATGATTGGGGGTATAGAATTTCTGTTGAGTTGTGATTTTAAAATCGACAAACTTCCAGTGAAATTAGCTTAATTTCACAAACAAGCTTTATTAGCCTGGATATTAGTATTTAAACACATTTTTTCCCCCAAACAAGTATATTATCTAGAATAATAGATGTATTCAATATAAAAATAAATCTCTCTTCTTCCCAAAATGGTATGAAAATGATATTGTATTAGTTAGACAACTTCTTAATTTAAACGGTAATTTATTATCTTACAGTGAATTTTTAGATAAATTTGGTTTTCCAGTTACTCCAAAGGGTATAGTACTGTATTTGATGCCATATCTCAACAGCTTCTTCATTTTATAAGAGCGTATGGAAATAAATCTTTTGAAGGAGAATATGTTAAAGAAAACCTTTTTTTTAGGAGATATTGATATTATTAAACAAAGTTATACTAATAAATATATTAGAAATATTATACCAGGTGATACAGTTGTATATAATAATTTAAAATGGACCAATGTATTCATAAATATAAATTGGAAAAAAGCTTGGCGTTTTTTTTTTAAATATATTGTATAAATAACAAAGTAAAAGAAGTTACATTTAAAATTTTACATAGTATATATCCAGTTAAAGAGGTTTTAGAGAGATTTAATTTGGATATTGATTATTCCTGTGATTTTTGTTGCATGGAAAAGGAATCTATTTTCCGCATGTTTTGTGATTGTATATACACAAGGATTTTCTGGGTGGATGTGGAAAATTTTCTAAGAAAGAAAACTAATATTGTATTTAAGTAAAAAAAAAATGATATTTGCATTTATTATGTTAATACATGTAAAAAAAAAAGACCTTTCTAGTACAACTTTTTATTATTTTGGGAAAGTTTCATATACATAAAAAATGGACTGTATCAAAGCCAAATTTTGTTCATTTTCTTCAAGAGACTAAGGACTACTGCACAAGTTTGGAAAACATGGTTAATAACAAAGCAAAGAAGACTTGTAATATTTTTAAGGGATATAAGATTTTCAATTACTGATTTTTTTTTTTTGTATATATACACTCTGGCATGTATTTTTTGTGTATAATATTGTATAATTCTGTATTTGTTAATTTAAAAAAAACACATCTTCAAGACTTTAAACCCAGACATGCCTGCTTTTTCGCTGTGAATTGATATTCCTAGCAAGAATTCAAGCACATGCTTTTACCATTAACTGACGTGTAATTTTTATTTTCAACATATATAATCATTTTCTAAAGGGACTAAGCTGACAAGGAAATGAATGAATGAATAAATAATAGTTTTCTAGTTAAATAGTTAACATTCAGGTGGGAAAACTGTTTAATTTGTAGATCATTATTTTAATTTAATAATTATAATTCTCTAATGTTCAATCCATGTGTTTAAATACTGAGGTAAAGTTGGTTTAATATTCACACATTCAGACTTTCTTCTTAATATTATATTATCAGTAAAGTATTTTTGCAAATACTAAATATGGATTTTATATTATCAGCCAGTGACTATCAAAGTACAACATTGTTCAAAGTAAATTAAATAGGGCTAATGTTGTTTTGAAGTCACACTTGCATGTTATTTCTGATCGAATATTCAAAGTAGCATTCCATTCATGGCCAAGATTCTGGAGAAAGTAGTGTTCAATCAAGTCCTGGACTTTCTTACTCAAAACAATCTCATGGACAACAAGCAATCCGGCTTTAAGAAAGGCCACTCAACTGAGACTGCCCTGCTCTCGGTCGTGGAGGATCTCAGACTGGCTAAAGCAGACTCTAAATCATCAGTCCTCATTTTGCTGGACTTGTCAGCTGCTTTTGACACTGTAAACCACCAGATCCTGCTATCTACGCTTGAGTCACTGGGCGTTGCGGGCACTGTTATACAATGGTTCAGATCTTACCTCACTGACAGGTCATTCAGGGTGTCTTGGAGGGGAGAGGTGTCCAACCTACAGCATCTAAACACTGGGGTACCTCAAGGCTCTGTTCTTGGGCCACTTCTCTTCTCCATCTACACATCATCTCTAGGACCAGTCATCCAGAGACATGGATTCTCCTACCACTGCTATGCTGATGATACCTAGCTATACCTCTCTTTTCATCCTGATGATCCCTCGGTTCCAGCTCGCATCTCAGCCTGCCTGTTGGATATTTCACACTGGATGAAAGATCATCATCTTCAGCTGAACCTTGCAAAAACGGAAATGCTTGTAGTTTCTGCCAACTCGACTCTACACCATAACTTTTCAATCCAGATGGATGGGGCAACCATTACTGCATCCAAAATGGTGAAAAGCCTTGGAGTAACGATTGATGACCAACTAAACTTCTCTGACCACATTTCTAGAACTGCTCGATCGTGCAGATGCGCACTCTATAACATCAGAAAGATCCGACCCTTCTTATCTGAACATGCAGCTCAACTCCTTGTTCAAGCTCTTGTTCTCTCCAAACTGGATTACTGCAACTCTCTACTAGCTGGGCTTCCAGCTAACTCTATCAAGCCTCAGAACGCAGAACGCAGCAGCACGAGTGGTCTTCAATGAACCTAAACAAGCACATGTCACTCTGCTGCTAGTCCGTTTGCACTGGCTGCCAGTTGCTGCTCGCATCAAATTCAAAGCTCTGATGTTTGCCTACAAAGTGACTTCTGGCCTTGCTCCTTCTTATCTGCTCTCGCTTCTGCAGATCTATGTGCCCTCCAGAAACTTGCGCTTTGTGAATGAACGTCGCCTCGTGGTTCCATCCCAAAGAGGGAAGAAATCACTTTCGCGAACGCTCACGCTCAATCTGCCCAGTTGGTGGAATGAACTCCCTAACTGCATCAGAACAGCAGAGTCACTCGCTATTTTCAAGAAACGACTAAAAACTCAACTATTTAGTCTTCACTACACTTCCTAATCTGCAATTGCCTCTCTGAAAATCACACTAACTGTACCAAAAAAATAAAAAAATAAAATACTAATACTACTAATACTTCCCTTCTTAGACTTTACAGACCTGAAACTTGCCTATAGCACTTATTCATTGTTGCTCTTGGTTGTGTAAATTACTTCCTTGTCCTCATTTGTAAGTCGCTTTGGATAAAAGCGTCTGCTAAATGACTAAATGTAAATGTAGCATGGTAAACAGTATAGGGAGTGTCACTTGTTGTCACTGAACTGATGTGTGAAAATAAAACCAACTTTACCTTGTTTAAATGTCCAGCATAACTAGTACACTGGTTTATATTTTTCTCCATTTCTTAGTGAATTTGGACAGTTTGTATCAGTTTTAGTTATTATTATGAGTGAGGGTCACCTAACACTGGATCAAAAAAATACAGTACATACAAAATACAGCGAAGTGCTGCAAAAAAAAAAAAAAAAATCACAGCCTACAAAAGAGTCTACAAAAGGAAATATTTTTCCTGTTAATTACAATTTGATATTATTCCTTCTTCAAACTTATTCATTAGGGTGTGCTCATTTTTGCACCATGATCATAAATTAGTCTGTGTAATACTGAATAAACTAATGTACAAGTAAATCATATTTTCACAAGTATGTAATCATATAGCACCCCATAAAACAAACAAACACACACACACACACACACAAATGGCACATGGTTATGGCATTACCTTTTATTTGGTCAGGGAGAATTGTCGATACAACAAATAACATCAGCCCACATGTGCCTCAATCAAACTTGTTTATTTCAGCAGTAAATAAATTGTGCAAAAATTAATCCAGTTAAAGAGAATGGTTCGCTCAAACTTAAAGGATGGCATCTGTTCCAGGTCTTCTCTGTACAATGGCAGACATTCACCTCAAAACTCTTAATCAGTTTCAAATATTCATGAAGCTTTTAAGGCCCCAGGCAAGAAATCTTGGAAAACACATAGAGTCACAGGCAGATCATATGCACCTTCTCAAAATCAATCTCACATTTTGTCTTGTGTCACACGACAGGGAACTTGTGCATTCAGATTTCTGCTAAATGAGATTACCAGAAACTGTATGTGGGAATGATTGCAGGACTCTCTTCATTTCTCATACAAATGAATACTTACGACTGTCCAGTTTACTGTGAATGCAGAGTAAAAACCAGAGGAGGTCTCATTAAAGTTACAAAGATAAACTGATCTTATTAACTCATGATTTAATAAACAAAACTCTTATCCTGTAACAATGATGGAAGTAACTCTGCAAAAACAAAAGTGAGAAATAAGACAAACACTCCTGCTAGTGTGTGATGTAGTGGAGTGAGGAAACAACACATTAAAAAATGACTTAAACACTAAAAATGATCACACATAGGACCCTTCCAGTACAATATAATGAACTTAATAGTAAGTGCTCATACGTGTACGCAACTTTATTAGAGAAAATTCCATCAACAGATTTCAAAGATCTTGTTTCACGCTCACTTATTGCATTATACCACTGAAAGATGTGCACACAGACTCTACTTACAGGAACATTTCATGTGCATCAGAGAAAAACCAATCGCAAACGATAAGTATTCATAATTTCATGTAGCATTTCCTTGTGTAAAGTCATTCACACCATTTCTTTTATTCAATTCCATCATCTTCCACTACAATGAACTGAAATCTCAGTTTTGGGACTGCATTCAAAAGAAAAAAAATAAACAATTGGCTTCAGAATGAAACAAGCACACACACAAACAAATCCAACTGTGATTGATAAATATGAAAATCATAGTGCTTGTTTTAATAAAATTATATGTATTTACCTTAGAGAAATTGATAGAGGAAAACATACAGTCAGCAGAAACATCCATTTTAAATTCCAAAAATGAAAATGCATAAACGTAACAGGATATGACAGCACCCTGTTGTAAAAGGCTCTTAAGCGCACACACACACATACATACATACATACATATACACACACACACACGCACACTCATTCTCTCAAACATGCTTAAGTTATCAATAAATAAAGTGGACAATCAAGTAACACAATGTTCTTAAACACTGTTGTACATCTGGATCTTATAAAGAAAGCCTTTGCAGTACAATCCTTCCCACTATTTGCAGTTACCGTGTGAAAACAGACATATTAGTGACTTGACTGCATTAAAAACAAAGAAAATGGACATGACTGACAGAAAACGTGATAGTTAAGATGGACAGCAGTTACATTGGGACGCAAACGCAGATCTTTTTTAGATGACGTGTTTTGTGTTTGGATGTGAATATACAATCAAATCTAGATGGCACCAGCCAGTGAACATGGCTTCTTTTCTGTATAGATGACGCAAGCGGTGAACAAACTGATGTCTGACTTTAACCGTAATTCAAAACTACTGACCAGACACACATAATATTTGTAATCCGCCTGGAAAATAATACTTTTTGTTTTCACAATGTTAATATTAATAAACAGCTGATCAGTAATTGCACAAGCTTTTGTTCATAATAGGGTTAAAATAAAAGGCCAGGCATCCTTTTTTCCACTAGATGTGGTTGGCGGAAACTGATGAGGCTTTCTCAGGGCGACCTCGGAAACAAAGGGAACACAATCACTATAGTACGTTATTTGATTTTGAGACCAGCACTCTTGTGCTTTGCTTTGGCAATATGTGATTAGCAAAAACCGTGAGGCGCTAATGAAAGTTAGCTCACCCTGCTCTTAAAATAACTGCCCTACTTTACCTGAGGTTGGAGCGCAGCTTGCTTTACTCAGACTCCTGTGCTTTACCACTTGTGTTTGTCATGAGAATTAACTAGAGTTTGTCTAAAATTCAACATACGTTACAGGACGTTAGTAGGGCCACCTTATACCAGACCCTCAAAATAAATCTGTCTGCAATTCAGTCACTGTTTGAGATTGTTAACGGAAAAAAAGTTTAGCTAAAAAGAAAACTGACAACTGACCTTCTGATTTGGTGCATACTGATAATGCAAGCACACCCCCCACCTAAAAAAAACCCATTGAAATCTGCCAGATCTCTGCCCACAGAAGTCTGCTAGCAGAGCTTGACCATTTGTGACTTCTGAACTGTTGCCAAGTCTCACCAAAAGTAACCAGTCACATCAGCCTCTTTTATAGCTTAAGGATGGCGGCAAATTTTTGACAGAAAAAAGTCAACAAAAACCAAGTAGTTTAAAAACAACCCAAATAAAGCCATGCTGACGTATTGTGGTGAGAGTGAGAAAGTGCTAATGCTAGTCCTCTCTACCGGCCCGTGCTTTTCAGTGTCGGCATGCACCAGGTGTTTGCAGCTCTCATTCTGGGCTGTGCGTCGGGCTCCAGGGGGAAGGATGTTGGGGAAAGGGGAAAAAAACACTCGTAACACGGCACACACAAACAAGTCCTCGGATGAATGTGACATTCCCACTGACCGCATGCTGCTGGAGATGTACACACAAAAGGGCAAACCGCCCACCATGCATACTGACTACCAATGGCAAAAATAGAATCCTTTTGTCTTTTTTTTCCTATTTTTTTTATCTCCTATCCTCATCCCATGTGTCTTGACTGTAAGGTAAGGCAGGGATTTAATTTTTTAAATACATTTTTTAAATCTGATGTGTGACTGTCTGTTGTTAAAACAAGCTCGTGACTACGCCACCAGACCAGCAGCCTAAGCAGTAAGTTGGAGATCACCATCCCTCCCCGCTGCTGATCGTCGACAGGAGCGTCGTCCTCTCGAACGCTTACGGATCTCCTCCAGAGTCGTTTCCGCGCTACGCCATGTAGATGAAAGTGTTAATGTCCGTCTCGTCTCTCTTGATGTACTTATGCTCGATGAGCCACTCAATCTGCTCCTTGATCATTTTCTTCTGAGGAAGGAACATGTTCTTCAGGATCTCCACCAGTTCGGTCTGCAGCTGAGCGTTTGTGATCTTCTTGCGCATCTTCATGATCTGAATGATGGCCTCCTGAAATGAAAGAAAGAAAGAACGTTTAGCCCCAAGAATACCTCAGTTTAATGTGGATGCTAGGGTGTGTGAACATTATTTGACGCAATAAAATAACGTAAATATAACAATGCTATCTTACTGCAATTCGTACCTTTTTGATTTTTTAGTTAATCCGTATGAAATCGTACGATCTCAGTACGATTTGCACATCCCGAATGACAGTTGGTTTTAGGGGTGGGGTTGGGTGCCATGCCTCCTTTTTCAAATCGTACATTTCCGTACGACCAAACTCGTACAAATTCATACGAATTAGCCATTAAACTGACAAAATGAAAAATACTTAAGTTTCCTTGCGCGATCAGGCTGTATCTACTCAACTATACAAACGGTTTAAAAGTTAAACCTGATAAATGACAAAAACATTTATCCTACTTTAACAAGTTGAAGACATCAACATAACTGCAGTGCATGTTTATGAAAAACAAAACATTTCTCCCCTGATGTAGACACTAATGTACTTATTGTTATAGTCATCTCACAGTTTTCATTATAGGTGTGTGTATGGCCATTAACCCCTTCAGACCTGAATTATGTTCCAAATTTCAGAAAAATGGGATGTCATGTGATGTCAATTGTAATGGACGCAGGGTCTGAAGGGGTTAAATGTAATCTCAGATATTATGACTTGCATGAAATATTATAACAAACATAATAAGTCTTACTGAATATGTAGTAGAAAGCCCATTAAAGATTAAAAGATTCATGAATATGGAGGGTGCTAATAGGTCGATGACATCAGATGGTTGCATTTAGTGAACTACAGGCACTACCTGATATGTTTTACAGCTACACAACTTCAAATGCTAGGACGATTCCATTTTGTGTGGCCTTTGAAGGAAAATTCTAGTTTTAAAGCGCAACAGCGTTACGGTTTGGTACAGTACGCATTTACGTCCATTTCCACTTTTAAAAAAAGTACCACTTTCATACTGACTGGTTGGGTTACAGAGAAATGTAACTTGTTCATGGAAAAACCACGCAGGACTTGCTATTTTTAAATACAAAGACGAAACACAACACTAGTAATAGAATGACAATGTGCAGCAATTAACCAGGGTCATTTTGTTTGTTTTGTGACAAATAGCCACGTGCCAAAAAGCAAGAACAGGAAATGTGTCCTCCATTGTTGTTTACAGGGCTGCTAACATATCAATACATTGGGCCATTCACAAGGCACCGTCCTTCCTCTCTCTCTTTTTGTGGCACTTGATGATTGACTACATTTAAATAAAATAACTTGGGCACATAAAAGAACTCGAGCACCAAAGTTTTATTTTTTTATTAATTTATTTTCTTTTTGACTTAGTCCCTTTATTAATCTGAGGTCGCCACAACAGAATGAACCGCCAACTTATCCAGCACATATTTTATGCAGCGGATGCCCTTCCAGCTGCAACCCATCACTGGGAAACACCACAAACACTCATTCACACACATACACTTCAGACAATTTAGCTCACCCAATTCACCTGTACCACGTCTTTTGACTTGTGGGGGAAACCGGAGCACAAACAATTGCAATATTTAAATTCTTCTTTGAACACAAAAGATGTTGATCGCAACTTTCTGACATACACCATATTAAGGCCCAAGCCTAACTCTATTTTTTTACCCCTTCCCCTTGGCCCTTGAAACAAAGTGTGAAGGGGAAGGGCTTCAACCCCTAAGAAATGGGGACACCACTACAACACCTGCACACGTCATCATATGTCATCGCGAGCTCTTACTTCATATGAGATTGACGATGGTGACTGTTGTAGTAATTCCAGTTGCATTATTTTTTGGTATTCATCTTCAAGACAACGATATCATGTTATTGTGGATATATAAATTTATATAATCTAATTTCAAATGAACAATAATCTATATAAAACTGAAAAGTTATATTCTTTGGTTTTTAATTATATAATTTCATGAACATCCCAGCTAGGAGGGATATTTTCCCTTTGTCTTTCTGACTACTGGCTAGGCCAAAGAGATGCAAATGCTATGGGCAGGTTTTACGGGTGTTGCTTTTACAGTAACCCTTGTGTTGATTAACTTGTGTGGTTAGTAGCTGGGCCAGTTTTTAACACCTATATGCCAATTTGCCATGCTGACTCCAATACCGAATTTGCATGCTTAGGCCCCGTTTACACTAGTGCGTTTTAGTTTGAAAACGCATAAGTTTTGCTACGGTTACGCCATCCGTCCACACTACGCCGGAGTTCTCGAGCGCCGAAAACGGAGCTTTTTGAAAACGCTGGAGAGGCCGTTTTCATTCTGAAACGCTGCTGCAAACGGAGGCGGGGCTGCAAACGTTTGCCTATCTGATTGGGGCTTTTCCTCAATATTAAGTAGCCAACACACAGTTCAGTCTCGCATCCTCTTCTTGTAAGTTAAGACTTCGCAAGTTTGATCAAGGCTGCAGTCTCCCCCTTCTCAGTTTGATATGGAAAACAGACTATACCGAGGACACGGGTAAATCTTCAAAGGGAACAGTGTACTTTATAACTTCATTCACATCACCTTGGCTACGTTGTTTCACTTTCTCAACAATAAAATGTAAACATGATTTAAGGAACTGCCTATTTTCTTTTTAATATTAGCAACTTAACAGACAGCAGAAATGTTGAGGCGTTGTGCTGCATGACTGTCATCTTCACTGTGTGGATATTTATAACAAAACGGAGCCTACAACAACTGCCTCTTTTCAATTTCAGTGAAAATACGAAACGCACCCTCTCTTTTGCTGAATATCAGTTTTAATAATCGATAATTATAAAAGTATAACATACAATAAGTTTATACATTGTAGGAAATAAAGACGAGCGATCAGTCAATGTACCTGGATTAATCATTAACTTATCTTTGCGCTTAACCAAAACATGTTACCCGTGAACAAGTAACTTAATAGATGTCAATGACCAAAGTCAGGGAATTGGCCTATGTCGTTAGATAAAGACAACAACATGAATGAAATATCACGTTTAGCAAATATAGTGAGATTAGTTCCAGCGGGAGATGCGTGATGAGCAGTCCGACAACCAGAGTTCTCATCTGGGTAGAAATGCTGGAGCGCTTGCCCGAGAGTGTGTGTGTGGTCACGTGATGTGCGTTTTCAGCGTTTTGGTGTGGACGGAGAGCTGTTCAGAAACGCTGGGTAAAACGTGAGTGTGGACGCGGATCGTTTTCATTCTACAACGCCGTTTTAAAACTAAAACGCACTAGTGTAAACGGGGCCTTAGTTTAGCCATCTCCCCTCCTCCTAACAGGAGAATATAGACAGGACATCTTTGTCTCAAATTAGACTTGTGATAGAACTTGCAGACTGTGGACCTCTAGTAGGGCTCTGCAGACACATGGATATCCTAAAGATGCTGTATGACTGCAGATTAACCAACATGTCTCAATAAAGGAATTCTGCTTGTTTCGAGTGTCCTGGACTGGGTTCTCTCTTCTTCTTCAATCATTTCTTTTTTTTACAACATTATCATAACGATATAATGTGGCAATAAGCTCGTAACTGTACTGTGTATTTACATTGTGGCCATATTCATCTATGTAAACACACAAAAACAACATCAACATTATACCAGACACTGTAAAAAGCTCATTCCCTGACACTAGATTTTGGACAGGGTATTCGAGTGTTAATTACTTACAGATGTAAAAAAGTATTCGAGTGTCAACGAGTTACAGATGTGAAAAAGAAGTTGTTATAATTATGGATAGCCAAAAAATATCATAATAATGCTAAAAAATACTTATTTGTGCATAGCCTGACTTGTGTAGACATGTAGAGATGCTGCTGTTGTAGATGGTGTATTTGTGAAATTTTTGTATCTCTTGGTTTCGAGTGTGGTCCTGATAAATCTCAGTTTAAAGGGTTATTTAGGACCTGCTTTCTACCCTTCCCTTTATCCCTACGCCCTCAAGCTAAAAAGAATTGGGACACCCCTACTCCTTCATGTGATAGAAGGGGAAGGACTATGGGGTAGAATTGGGCCTTGTCGAAGTGAGCTCCATACTGGTCCACTGCTTTTAACCCATTCAAGAGCACACACATACACACACTGTGCGCATACACCAAGATCAGTGGGAAGCTATTGCTTCCAGAGCCTGGGGAGCAATTAGGGGTTAAGAGCCTTGCTCAAGGGCACTTCAGCTGGGTATCAAAGATGGGGAGAGTGCGAAAACATAATGGTAGCATTTGGAGTGGAGACGCAAGCCTGATCAGGGTGACCCATAATGAATACTTTACTAAACTATAGCTCAGGAATTCATGTTCACTGCTTTCTTCAGTTTTACTGCAGTGAGTAGGACAATAGATATAACAACACATTTATATCCATTCAATGTTCTCCAGTTATGTAACAGTTGTTTTCAAGCATCTAACATTTCTTGTTTTAAAATATGGCATTCGTTCAGAATTGTATTTCAACCGTCTAACCTCAACGCGGAACCAACTGCACACCTAAAACAATGGTGCGCTATAAACTTATAATCATTTATATTATCGGTGTATTAAAGCATACAATCATAACATTTGGGGGTTCCCTTTAAAGATTTTGACTCTCATACCTGTGTTCTTAATATTCTAAGCTGGACGATGCCTTCATTCTCCTCCTCTCTCATTCGCTCTGTTGTTAGCTGCAATCGGCCAATAAGGTTTATCTTTCCCCTCTTTTGAGCCTTGGAGTTTTTTCTGAAGATAAACAACAAAAAAAATGTTTTCACAATTAAAGGATCATTTCAAAAAAAATAAATAATAGTGATAAAAAGCAACAAACATAAGATTTTCTTACATCAAGGAGAATTCCTGGTTAACAAAAAACAATGTACTGTCCGTGAAGTCTTTGGGAGAGCTCACTTGAGGTTCATATAACAGCACTTGGCGTTTGAGCTTTGGAAAGGCAACAAGAGACTGTACACAAAGAGAGGGAAAGTTAAGAAGAACATGATGATACAACATCCATCAACAGGTCTCTTTAACAGCAAAAATATTATGCTAAAGATACCTACAATAAGTTTACATCCATCCAATGCCAAAATGCATTTGAATTTTATTCATACACAATCCAACATTTGAAATTCTTTATACTGAAAGCTATAAACCCCGTCTTTTTGGGATCCTACTCTACTCTGGTTGGTGAAATGGTCCAGTCTGCTGTGACTTAAATAAAAAGGAGCATACAGGCAATCACTGACTACGTTGACATGGACATCAGAAATCTAATTATTAGCCTTAATCTGAATAAGACAATAGTGTGATTAAGGTGTTTACATGAGTTACTTTTTGAATGTTCCTTTCATGATCCCGTTTTACATGTTATAGCACATAATTCGATTAACATCATTACGTCACACATGTACTGCACTTCAATAGTGTGACTAAAATAGCAATACTCCACATGTCTTCATTTGATTTCTGTTTATTTCAATTATGACTTCATTCGAATTAAGGTCATTAAAAGTCGCAGTTTACATGGTAGACTCTTAATCAGAGTATTGTCTTAATTGGAGTATTGGTGTCCATGTAAACGTACTCCGTGATGCTCTTACCCAGAGAGTTCTCCTCAGCTCAGCGTCAGGCAGCTCAGTGGCAAGTTTCAGATTCTCAAAGCTGATCTTCTCTCGTGGTCTTTGGTTCCAGGCAAAAAGTACAGCCAGCTGAAAGGTTGTGACCTCCAGGTCATACTGCCCTACTTCATTCTTGAACGTGATCTACCAAAGAGCACACGGTCTGATTAGCTATTAGTTGCAAATATTTATTTACAGTAGCTACAAATCAATAAAAAGGTAGTGTATAAAATACACCCACAATGCCATTGGACATGAGGTGATGCCAGTGGAGTTTGCGGCCGCTGTGGTTTTTCTTGTAGAAGTCCTCCACCTCAGGGATGAGGTCTTCCAGCTCAGTGGGCAGAGACACGAACACTTTTTCTGAGCTGCGTGACCACGCTCCAGCATTCAAGATCTTGATGTTTACAGAGTCCGCTGGCAAGTGAAAAAGAGACCTTAGACCAACCATTTTCACATCATATAATTGTAGATTATTAACAGTATTACATATTTTCACTAGAGGTGCTCCTATTAATCAGCTGATAATGACCTTTAATGACTTGATCAGTATTTAATGATCTGGGGTGCGTTTCCCAAACAATGACGTAACTCGCAGCTGAACTATCATAGTACAATGTATCGGTTGGGAAAAGAACGATGTAGTGACGAGTGTTTCCCAAAACCCGTAGTTTCTCTGTCGCAGATCCATCGCTTGAACCACGTTAGTTATAACATAAAACGCCCATAATGATGCTCCAAACTGGGTGGAGTAACTACTTTTTTAGAAAAAAAAAACATTATTTCTTTGTGCAAATTATATTGTTTTACACAAACACACATTTAAAATAAAATTCAATATTAGATTTGGTAAAAACATGCACTCGCTTTCCATATTAACTGAAATATATGTAAATGGCACATATAGGGCCTACGTTTGCTTTACTAACATTATTGAGAAGTTGACTATTCCATATTCTATTCTAAAATATATCACTTACAAAAGCTAAAACTAATATCATATAAATCATATAAATAAATAACGAGGCTATTTATTATAAAATGAACTTAATATTTAATATTTATTAGAAATAAAAAAATCATACTTTAATAATAATAATAATAATATTAATGATGATGATGATAATTATAATAATAATTATTATTATTAAGTAGGATATTGTTTATTTATTTTTTAGAAAAGTCAAAATTTTTTACAATTTGACACTTGTAAACCACTGCAGAAAGTTCTTACCTGCAGGCCCATGTCATATAAAGTACAGATACTGATAACCCACTCTAAATTAAAGAATTAACGTATGCTTTTTGTTTTCACAAACTTTGGAGACGTAACATAAATTTAGCTTTTTAATAATAGGTCACCTATAGCTTTCGCCATGAGGCTGTGTTCAAAATGACATCAATGTTTTAAAAGTGCACTGTGAAGGGAGCACTACTGTAAACATGAAGATCGCTAAAACTGAACTGTAAAAATACTTTGAAAGCAAATTACATCTAAGAGAGATGAGCTTAATGCTTTTTTATTTTTAATAATTCCAACTTTGAATGTTAGAATGTTCTAAATGAATAGGGCATAGGGGGATAAGTGGGAATAGAACACAGCCAGTAACTATGTTTCTAACTACAGCGAGTGCTCAAGTTTGCAACGCAGTTTGCGAATGTTCGTTGGAGCGATGGATTTGGGAAACAGCAAATCAACAAACTATGTTTGTAATGACAGAACTTGCGACCTTGGTTGGCTAATGATGTTTTGGGAAAAACACCCCTGGCTGATCTCATGAACCAATCATAAGTGTTTGTAAAAAATGTATATTTTAAAATATTTTCAAGATTTCTTTGACCATGGGAACTTTGAATTTAGAATATTTATTTTTATGTTTTTATAATGCTTGTTTTTCCTACTTTCATTAAAAAAACAACTCTGTCAACATAAATATGAATAAACGCACTCCACACACCAAACAGAGAATTAAGTATTTGCATGAGTAAATTGCATACAAATCAATGAAAATGTGAGAACAGAGGCAGAGTACCACATTTGGTGTGCATGCTCTTGTCATGAGGTGAAAACTCTGGTGGTAGCGGCCACATAATCACACTGTAGCCGAGTTTTGCAAAATCCTTTTATAAAGTGTCAGTTTTAGTCACCTGACACTGCATTTTCGTGTGGACAAACAGTGAAACTGCATAGAACCAGTTGTGCATAGTGCAGTTTCGAAAAATACCAGTGTTGGTGTGGGCAAGGAATTGGCAATGATGCAAATAACAAGATAATTTCAGAACCTTTGTTATAGCTATTATTAAAAGGGCGCTTGGGTTAATTTAAACACTAATGTTTGGTGTTTTGTTTTTATTTTGTTCTTTAATTTGAATGTAAACATCATGAAGATGTGGGAAATGGAACAGAAGTAAGCTGAAAGAATGGAAGTGGGTCAGTGTTTTGACTTGATGTTCTGGCCTTTTGGCTGAGGCTGTAGAAGTATGCTTGAGAGCTTGGTTTTCGAAGGCTCTTCATATTTCAGTTGTTGTTAGATTATTGTGTTATATTGAATTTCATTTGATATAAATTTGAACTTGATTTTGATGCATTTATTGTTGGTTAATTAAACGTTTAACAGAGAATCGAATGAAAGCATGTGAAGTGCATTCGAAACAAAGCCCGGAACCATACTTTCGTGGCCTCAGCCAAAAGGCCAGAACAACATCAGTGAAAATAAATGTACATTTATATATATTATTGCTATAATAACATAATTTTAACCACTGTTTAAAAGTTATTTATTTATTTTATTAATCAAGGATGCATTCATTTAATCTAAACAAAAATAAATACTGTAAAATTAAAAAAATCTAAAATAATAGTTTTCTTTTGTAATAAATTGAAAAGTTCAAAGCTACATTTTTACATTGTTACTGCAGTCTTTAGTGTCACATGGTACAAAGTACCATTCCAATTTGCTGATATGGTGCTCAAGAAACATTTTTTTTCATGATGCTTAATGTTTCTGTTCATACATCTTCATGTAATTCATTTTAATGAACTTAGATTAAAGCTAATGTAAATGCATATACAGAAAGGAAAGTGGCGTTTTAAGTCACCTGGTAAAGCCAGCTTGTTGTGTTTGTGCATCTCCTTGAAAACCTGATTAAGATCTTCAGACACTTTGATGTCCTGAAACATCCGAGCCAGCTTGTTCACATAGTCAGCAGGCATCCCAACTTCCTGAAACATGCCCGATTGAAGCGAACAGTGAGTGAATAATGTATGAAACCCTCAAACAGACTTTCACACCATATCATTTCTCTTTTATTCTCACCCTGAGCCACTCGACCATGTTCTCCTCGATCTCACTGTCAGCTGAGATGTCCAGAATCAGACGTCTGGTCAGGTGAGCTTTGTGGTACCTCATAAACACATCCTTATTCTGGACGTATTTAAGCACTAGTAGCTACAAAAGGACATTCATAGTATTGTGAAACACTTTTAAGGACAACAGATGAGCAAACAACATGTGACAACAATAGAGTCTCTCACCACTTCCTTTAGTTTGAGCTCGATGTCCTCTGAGGTCAGCTTTTTGCTGAGTGGCGTCTTTCTTAGCAGCATGTCGCAATAGTTAGCAAGCAGCTCCGGACACTTTGACTCTGGTTGTGTTTTAAGGCCCACTCTGTGTTTAAAGACATTGAAGAAAAATATTATACAAAAGTTCTGTCCTCATTCCATTACCCTCATGTAGTTTTTATAAAGGGTTTCCACTTGAAGCCTAAATATCACTGACTTTTTACTGAGAAAGTAGCTACATTTCCAGCAGGTACTGCATTTCTCTACAGGTGTGTGACCTGTTTTAGTTGTGTCTTATGACAGTATTGCACCATGCATTCAGCCTATTTGTACAAGGCAGTATTTGTTGTATTGATCATAAAATGTATTTTTTACTTTTTTTTAGTAATTTAAAGTCATTTGTGTGTCATTTATGAGTGTTTTTTCTCTTTGGGCCCTATCTTACACCAGGCGTAATAAGGCGCAAGACGTGTTGGCATGATTTGTTATTACTTTTAGAGCAGCTCAACACTAATTTTCATGTTTTGTGCCACGTTGTTTAAACAGCAAATCCATTTGTGCCACTTTGTGGACTCATGGATGTGCTGGTCTATAAAGGAGGTGTGTTAAGGCGCATTGTTGGTGCGTTGCTATTTTGAGGAACTGAAATAGACAGCGCCATTGACTAACTAAAAGCTGGTCTAAAAGTCCAGCGCAGAGCATGTTAGTTGTGTTCCTATGCGGGTCCAAATGCTTAAACATTACTTAATACACATAGGATGTACAGCAATACACAAATATCTTTACATATAAAAAATAAGAATTAAAATGTTATTAAAATATGTAGGCTAATGGATGTCTTCAGTGGAGTGAGTTTCCACGGTTTCCTTACTCCACCAAAGTAAAGGAGTAAAGTAAAGAGTAAAAGTAAGATAAAGAGGCCAAATGGAGGAGGCATGTTCTTTATTCTCGTGCTGCAGATAATCTGTTTAACTGTTTTCTCACTAGTGAAGCGTTCAGTTTTTCCACTTACAAAGTCCACCATGCAAATAGCAAATGCACCATGGCGTGACGCAACTGACTGTTAAAGCAAATGGGAGATGAGACTCTGATTGGTTATCTTGTGGGATAATTTTGTTTTCACAATCCAAAATAAATAATCTAACTTTAGTACCTGAAAGCTCTGCCCCTTCTGCTACGTGAGCAAAGCTGCAGCTGTTGAGTGCGTGAAGTGACCAATGGTTGAATTAGTGTATCATCTGGGTATGTAAAGTCCACTTACTGTTTTTACAATAAAACAGCTATTTCAGTGTGAACACACTACATACACTATTTACACTAAAGAATGGAGTAGAATAGTGCATAAGTATGCAATTTGACAAGCACTTTTATTCCCTTCTGACCAAAGATATACATGTCCCAATTTTTTTTTTTTTCTCTTTATTTCCTTTTGCAAAGATTTTATTAATTGCAAATGGGGGAAAATGGAAAAACAACACTTTTTTTGTAGTTTTCATTAATGTGCAAGTTCAGATTTTTTTTTCTTTTGGAAAAAAATTATTTTTTTCATAATATAAAATGGAAAGCAGCTTACACTTCAAAGCAACTAATGTAATGCAGTTAACATCATTTGAATGGTGTTAAATGAGAGAGACATGCAAGTACTTGAAGTCCATTCAAAACATGCAATAGGTCCTGTTTTGCTTTAAAAAACTGTTTAGACTTGATATTTATAATAAAGTTTGTTTATAACAAAAACACAATAATTACTGTTCGGTATCTATCATATATTACATTGTTTAAAAATGAAATTTGTTAATAAATAGAACCTTAACCCAGTGCCACTTGTTTTCTGCATTTTTGCTTAATTTGTTATACATTTACTGAATATTGGAGTTGGCTATTTAGTGCATCACACTTAAATAAAGTGTGAACAGATTCCTAGAAAGCAGTCGTTACTCACCCCTTCTGTTTCATTGGCAGCTCCAACTTAAATATTGTGGCATCATTCACAACTGCTTTATATGCCTGTGGAGAAAATTAAAACCATTATTATTATTATTATATATATATTTTTTTTTTATTATTAATATATGGCATTAAAACAGTAGGTGTGATGCATTAAAAATATGACAAATCATGTTCTAGAAGCATCAATGTTGTTTCTGATTACCAGACTTAAAAGATAAAACCTCCCGCTGTACTACCGTCATCACAGAACGCTGGTAACCATCTGTGGTGTGATCTAGTAATGCAGGCCTCTTACTGTACTGAGACCAGCTGTGAGACAATGAGAATGAATACAGTTTGGTTGATATGCTTACTTTATCTCTAGCTGTCAGGAAGCGAGGATCATCCTGGAAGGCTTCCTTCACTAATTTACTAAATCGATTGAACAGAGTCAGGAGCTGCTCCACATACTTCTCAGAATCCTTAAGAGAAACATTAAACCAGAGCATCAACATTAGCGATGGCCAAACCTTTAAATAAAAACAGTTATTTATTAAAGTTATTTATTTATTATAGTTATTTATATTGTAAATAACAAAGGCCAATGAATGCTCTAAATGTGTAAAGGTCACAAAATCTCTTTTTAATCAGTGATTGCTGTGCTCACAGTTGTGATGGTCTCGGCAGCGGCCACCATGTCTGCGAGTCCAGCACTGATGATGTGCTCCTCTAGGTCTTTCAGCATGGGCTCAATCCCATTGGGCACTTTATCCATGAGAGAGAACATGAGGTGCAGCTCTGTGGGTGAAGAGTTTAGGGAGACTTCACAGAGGAACAAAGCTTACATTTAAAAAAAGACTACAGTTGTGTCAAGATATTTTAAAGAAAAAAGTATACATTTAATTCAACAAGTATTAAATTAACCAAAATAAACAGTTATGACAACAAAATGTTGTATTAAAAGAAAGAAATATATTGGTCTGACTTTTTATTTAATCAAAGATTCCACAATATATTACAAATATTAAGCAGAAAATGTTAATGATAATTTTTCTTTTGAGCACCAGTTCACCATATTAGCATGCTTTCTGAAGGATTGAGTGACACTGAATATTTAGCTTTACATCACCGGAAGATATTATATTTTAAATTAAAAAATAAATATTTAAAATAAATTAAAACGTCAATTTATAGCTATTATTGATCAATGAAACCTTTGAGCATCTGTAGTAAAAATCCCTGAAGTGGTCACGTTTAAAAACATTTCAAAAGAATCTCATACTTACTGTCAGTCTCGTTTCTTTTGATCATGCCTGGACATTCAGCTAAGATAGTTTCTTTAAATGACGTTACCAGTGCATTCACACAACATTCCATAAGCTGTGAAGGAAAAAAGTGCACAAATTCAGACTGCTGATATGACTTCATTTAATATTGACAACTAATTCAATCATTAATGCCTGTTTTAATGCTAAACGTAAAAATTATACACAAGGGCTTTTCACACCTCAGCCTCATTCACACTACAAGTTACAAAATGACCGTTCAAATCAATGGAGAGTGAGCGATTTCCGGCGACATCTGTCTACGTGAGCGACAGCAACCGTGTGGGCATGTAGAGCGATGCGACAAAGTTGAGACTCCTCCACCAGCAAACTTCACATGATCCTCTCTCAGCTTATTCAGAGGCCGGTTGTATTCTTTGTGTTGTAGAGCAACACAGACCGGAATTTGCAGCAGGTCACCACCCAGCGTGACAGGCAGCTACAAAGTCGCTGCTAGTGTGAACGAAGCATCAATTAAACTACGAGCAGCAAAGCGACAATCGATCGCTCATATCAGTGGAGAGTGAGCGATTTCTGGTGACATCCCTCTAAGGGAGTGACAGCGACCATTGGTCACCGTGTGGGTGTGTCGAGCAATGCGACAAAATTGAAAATCCTTCAATTTTATGCAAGTGATAAGCGACTTTCTTGAACGACAGCCAATAGGAGCACCAGTAGAGATCACGTGAAACTCTCTCAGCTCATTTTTTACACTGGGATTAACAATTACTTCTGGGTATTAGTTAACATTTCCATTATTTGTATATCTGCACTGTCAGTGTTATGATTGAACGAATCAGCCTGTGTAAGGCTCTCAGGTTTAAAAATGGTTTCTTAATTCTGGGCGAAAAGCAGCAGTAACCCCACTTCAAAATGAGACATTTTACGTTACCAAGGGTTAAAAGCAGGAATCATATCCCAAGATTAAGTGTGGTGTGAGAAGCCCTTAATTGTATAATTAATGCATTTCTTAAGAGCCAATCATATACTCACTGCTTGTACAGAGTTACATTCACGTCGTGTCTCTAAATATCGTAGTGCACGTTTCTCCTCTTCCCTTAACTTAGCGTCTGCCTGTAAACAGAGACACGATTGAAAACACGAAAAACAAAGAAAAGCAGTGTGTCAGCAGGAGTCATAACACTCCCCCTGGTTATGCAATCTGATCTAATCCTATTGCTTGGAGAATATGTGGTGTAAAATCTGATCTCTGCCTGGACGCACATATTTCATGTAGTTTTGTACTCCGTTCTGCTGCAGATAGGACGGTGCTTGGGTCCTGTAGAACCTCTCAGTGGAGTCTAGGTATGACTTCTCAAAGTTATCCCTGTAGATCTGCAGTTTATCTTCAGGATTGGAGCACAGGTTCACTGAGGAAGAGATTAGAGATTTTAGATTGGGCTGCACGATATATATGGGTTCAGCATTAATATCACAATGTGTACATCTGCAGTAGTCACATCACAGAATCTGCAATGTTGACTTGGTATCATAGTTCAGAACATTCGCTTGTATTTTTAAGGGTACATAATAAGAAATTATAATGTTTGTAGCTTTATCAAAGGTTAATATACAGTGTTATTAATTTACATTTGATTATTCAATTTGTATCCAAATACAGTTAAACTATCCAGAAAGTATAAAGCACTGTTTTGATTTATTTTATTTATTTATAACTACAATTTGTTTATTCTATTTTACGCAGATGCACTGCACTAAGAAATCTTGGCAATCAGTCTAAAATGATGAATTCTTTCCACGCAGAGCTATTCAAATTATCTGGTGAAATTGTATTCATATCACAATTAGGGTTGGGTGATGTCGACCAGTTTGGCATCGTACGATGTGTAATGTGAAATGACGATGGCATCGTCGTCGTAGGCGTTGGTGAATTAATTACGTATGAATAATTTATTAATCTATAACGAATTAATTATTTGTAGCCTACCGTTTTAACTACCTGACCCGCATGGTCTTTGTTTTACCAATAACCAAATCATAAAAAAATAAAGTTACACACAAATTACCACCTGTCAGTCACTTTTTCCGCGAGACTCTGGCATGAACAGGCAGAGGGATCTGCGTCGATATAATGGCGTCGACAAATTTGGTTGGTTAAAAAGGTGCTAAACCAACAGGAACCAACCAACAGTATCTAAGTTTTTTGCTAAAATTGCTTACAAGCGTGAAAGCAAAAGATTGAAGCAGTGTACTGACACTGTGACACGTAACCTGATAGAGTAAAAAGACCAAAGAGTCGTTAAATAGAGACAAGATTAATTCAATACTTTCAGCAGTATAGTGTAGACAGAGATCTTTTCAGAAATGCTAGATGAAACGCCCGTGTGGACATGGATCGTTTTCGTTCTAAAATGTTATTTTAAAACTAAGAAGTATAAGTGTAAACGGGGCCTAAGAGTGTATTTTTCGCGAGCGGGTTGCTGCTGCAATGGGTGTGGGGTGGAAAGTCAAGATGCCGGCTCAGCATAGTGATGTCTATCGGCCATTGGAGATAGGCGATGGCATTGTCTATTTACCCAACCCTAAACACAATACATATTCACAGTAAAACCAAACATTTCACTTTTTTATTTCACTTTTTTTTTTTTCAAATACCGTGCAGCATTACTTGTAACTGATAATACCTACACTATAAAAAATATCTGTAAATCGAGAGTTTTCCATATTTTGTGATTCATGTTTTTTTTCTTCACTTATTGAAAAGTTTGAAATAGTGAAGTTTCTAAACATTTTTAATAGTTTAAAGCAGAGGCGTAGTAAGTAGGGGAAAAGGGTTATCAATCCACCCCTTTCCCTGTTTCTTTGGGGGGTCCACATGAAATTTTTTTGCATAGGGCTCGAAATTGTTGGCTACGCCCCTGGTTAGAAGTGATATATCGTTTATGTTGATGTTGTATATTACGCTGCAAAAAACCTGGTAATAAGCTGCCAGTACATTGTTATTTTACAAACTTAGCTCTCTTTAAGTTATTTTTTAAACAATATCTTGTCTCAAAGTACTAAAATGTCAATAAATGTCAAATTGTTAAAGTGCATAGTTAAACTTTCAACATTAAAAGTTGAGAGAGCAGACAACAATGTCCCCTATTTTAACTTACAACCATAAATAAATGGAAAACACAAAATACGGAAACGATTGCAAAATATTTCATGTCCACATCCATATAGCAATGTGTGCATCTGCATTAGTCTCATTACTGGATGTTCAATGTTGAGTCTGGAATATTGTTGATCAGCACCACAATTTAGAAAACATGTAAGATTTGCTGCATAATGAAATATTTAGTTTTTCTGTGATTTATATTGTGATATAAATACAATTTCACAAGACATTTTATAACTCTATTTGGAAAGAATTAATAATTTGAGATTAATTGGGATTATTTTGTAGGGGAGTTTCGGCATAAAATGGAACAAAGATAAATACAATCTTTCTGTTAATCTAACAGTACTGAGCTACTCAAATATTCAGTAATCATATGTAAAATAACACAATATAGTCATAGGCTTCATTGTATAAACAATTAAATACAATAAATCTTTGTTGAAGCATCAAACTTTATAACTTATTCTTAATTATATTTATACTTATTCTTATAATATTACTTTCTTATATACTTATTATTAATTTACATTCTTAATATATTCTTATAATATTATAATTCATATTATTACTATTATAACTTATTATTAAACACACTTGAAATCTTACACATTCAAATGTCTTAAAAGCACATCCAAATGAAATTCAACTTTGCGATGACCCCACAAATCACGTTTTGAACTATGGATGCTGCTTATTATAATATTAATTTGACATTGCAGGTCCTGCAATGTAACTATTGCAAGTTCGCACATTGTGATATTTTTGCAAACCTAGTGGAGTCACTTCAGAGTTTAAACAAAGGAATCAACGTTAATAATTTAATACATTTAAAACGTGACTGTCTGGACACTTCAAGAAAGTTTAAAGCATTCCGACATTATTATTATTACTACATTATTGATACATTAAGTGTTAGTTTGACTCTCCAAAATTCCACAAAGTACTGTTTTATCTAATTTTATCTTTGCTCTATTGTATCAAAGACTGTAAAATACACAAGACATGCCAGTCATATAATTCTGAATGGGGAAAAGTGAAACAGACAATATGCTCACTCTAGAAAAAGAAGCTTCGCCTTTAACTAAATGAGCAAATCATTGATCACTAATGATGACTGATGATTTTTCTGGGGGAGGGGAAATCTTAGCAAATCCTTGCCTCACAGACATGAGAGATATATCTACATAAAGCTTGAAACTTCTACATCTAAACAAACCAAATACAGTTGGAAATAAATGTTCTCCGGTTTTCTAATCTGCACGAAACAAAAGCAAAGTCTGACTTCATGGATTTCTACCAGTCAAACACAAATCACATGTCGGAAATCATTTGAACACACACAAAACATAAACAAAGAGGTCATTGTCATTTTGGTATGAGATTTGCCATCTGGATTAGGTTGGAAATTACTTCAGAAGACCAGCGCGATTGGCCGCAGCATTATTAGGAGAATGATATTGTGCAACACATAAGGTATTTGTTCTTATGGTAGTTATAGTTTGAGTGACAGAATGACATCTAAATGTGGCCTTCAGAAACAGGCGTAAATAGGGTTGGTGTCGTGAACTTGTTCCTTTCGAATGCACATGCACATTAGCTTGTGCAACCTGAAAACCTTTGTAATGATTCATGATTTTGATTCATGAATCAAAATTCAAAAGACAATTAAAGAGTTCAATTCACTGGTGCCTCCATATATGAATTTTAATCACAAGCTTGACCAAAGGTTTTGGAAAATTTGATGTTTCCCCATTCAAAAAAGAGCTTGCACTGGCATGCCCAAGAGCCGTTTCAAAGATGAATGTGGAGTGAAATGATTTGCCTTAAAGAGATTTTTATTGTATGTATCTATATATAAATTAATTAATTTTGTTAATACAGTAATTTGTTTATTATATCATATGAATGATTTACTCACTTACAATCCCCATCCCTATCAATCTAAATTAATGACTTGTTTCCAAATTTCCAAAGCGGCTTAAATCATCTGGTAAAATTGTATTCATAAAAGAAAATAAAAAATATCACAATGCCCAATTTTTCCAATATCACACAGCCTCAACAACATCATCCATCAAAAACACAGAAATCTCTTATTAAAAAGATAAAAAAAAACTCACCATATGACTCTCTGACCCCAATGACCAACTGCGAATCAAACGCCTCTCCCAGCCGTTCAGCATGTACCAACTTCATGGCACTATCCTGCAATCTATTCTTGATGTTGGAGAATATAGACTCGTTCCAAGTGTCCAGCATCAGCTGCAGGAACACAATAAGCCCAAAAGGATGAATCCCAATCTAGGAAAATGTGCTACAAGCAAGCTCTATCCCACTCACCTTCCTAACAATGCTATCCTCCACATTGGACTTCTTGCTGCTGCCCTGTTTGCCCATCAGAGTGATCTCCAGCTGGCAAAAGGGCTTGGGCAGAATGTCACACTGTGTGAAGAACTTCCTCCACTCCACGATGTAAGCCTTGAGAAGCGCCGTGTCATCTTGGTGACTGAGCACTCGCTAAACACCAATGATCAACAATGCGAGATGATTCAGATGAAGAACTATTTTGTTTTCATGTTCAACAGAATAAAACTATTCAAACTGGTATGTAAAAATGAATTATCCCTTTATATTGCACCCTGAGCAGCATGGGTTGTGTTGGGATATTCATTGATAATAGTCCTACTAAACAGATGTTTCTATAAAAAATTATCCATAAGTGAAGAAGAAGATGATGAGGGGAAAAAAATAATAATAATATGAAGAAAAAAACTACTTTGTGATAGTTTACTGTGAAGTTAATTCCTAAACCTCTCTTACCGCTTGAGCTTGCTTAATAAAATCTAAGATGTCCTCCTTGAGGGCCTGATGGATCTTTGCCGGTCCTTTGTCATCCCATAGACAAACTGCATGAACATCTCTGCAAGAATAAGATGACACATTTAACATTTAGATTACCAGCATTTTGTTGAATCTACATCCCCAAATCAGAAAAAGTTGGTAGAGTATGGTAAACGCATATAAAAAAGGAAAGTAGTGATCTCTAAAATGTAAGACACCAAGTGTTACATTTTTCCAGGTGTAATTTTGTCCCATTCTTCCTGCAAACAAGTCTTAAGGTGGGCAACAGTAAAGGGTTTTCATGGTCGCATTTTGCACTTCAAAATGCGCCACGTAAACTATTGGAGACAGGTCGGGACTGCAGAAAGGCCAGTCAAATACCTATAGCCACTTCCTTCGCAGCCAGGACTTTGTAGTATGTGGAGAATGTGGTCTTGCATTGTCTTAATGAAATATGCATGGGCTTCCCAGCAAAAGAAGGCAGCATATTGTGCTCCAAAATCTCAATGTACTTTTCAGCATTAATGGTGGCATCACAGAAGTGCAAGTAAATGACAGATCCTAGCTATTGGACTTGTTGCTGGTAACAGTCCGGATAATTCTTTTCGTCTTTGGTCTGGAGCAGACGGCATCTATTACTCCCAAAATATACATGAAAAACTGATTCATCTGACCATGTTTCCACTTTGTGATGATCCATCACAGATGCCTCTGAGCAAAGAAGTTGATGCACTTCTGGACACTGTTAACATAGGGCTTCCCTTTGGCACATTACAGGTTTAACTGGCATTTGTAGATGTAAATAAATATTGTGGTACTTGACAAAGGTTTGCTAAAGTAGTCCTGAGGCCAGATTCCTTGAATCTTTTAATTATGTAGTGCACTGTTGGAGGTGAAATATCCAAATGTCTTACAGACATTGAACATTGTTTTTTAACATTTCAATTTTTTTCGTGTATTTGTAGTAAAACTGGCAATCCTCTGCCCATATTTGCTCCTAATAGACTAGACCTTTCTTGCATGCTGCTTTTGTACCAAATCATAATTACAATCACCTGTTGACATTACCCGTTTCTAAACTTCATTATTTATCCAATTTACCTGATTAGCTCTAAATTGCTCCTGTCCTAACTTTTTTTTTTTTAAATGTGTGGCATGTCGGAATGACAGAAAAGGATGTATATTTACAAAAGAACTGAAGTTGACCAGACAAAACATTAAAAAAAATTGTTTCCATGTTGTTTTTAATGAAATACAAGTCAAAGTAAATTTGGAAATCAATGCTTTCTTTTTTATTTGCGTTTTCCATACTGTCCCAACTTTTCTAATTTGGTGTTGTAAAAAGATCTGAATTCACAGGGCCTTACGAGAACTGATCGAACCACTGCTGCTTAGTTACAGACTCTTGACGAAGCAACTTCAGGACAATGGGACGCATAAGATCCCACTTGTCCTCAAACTGGAGGGAACCTTTGTTCTAGGCAAAATAAGCATAAAGGGAGACAGATAATTAGAAAACAAGTAGATATATGTCTTTATTTAATCATAACAGCTTATATGCAGTAGTTTACCTTTTCCATTTTAATTCTTTTGTTTGTTTTCTGTTTTTCTTGGTTATTTACTGGCATTTTTAATTATTTTTGTATCATAAAAATATTTTAAGCCATTTTAATATTATTGCTCATAAATTACAACTATATTTCAGTTGTGATGTATGACCAACATCTGTATTAAGATTAAAATATGTTTGTCAAGGCACCTAAGAGCTTTAAATAAAGAAATAATGAAATCAATAGCCAATATCAAAAGGTACAATAAATTACTAAAGAGAAAAAAAAATCTAATATTCTACAATTTAAATTCAAATACAATTCAAACTGACATCATATCCTCAATAGACAGAAAAGAGGGGTTTTTGATAAGTAAAAGACTCAAATTATACTAACCTGTCAAACTGGACATAATTTTGAACACTCACATGATATTCAAAGTAAGTAGGCAGCTCACTAGATGTTTTTGAGACACAGCTACTATATTTAACTGCATGAAAACAAACATCATGCACACTCTAATTTAAACTCCCTGATGATTCCTTTACATAATTAAACTATAAAAAAACAAATTTCCCCAGACATTATACATCGTAACAAGGCAAGATACTATAAGCACATGAAAGTCAAAATGATTCACACTCGTTCACATTTATATGATTAGCTCAGGCATTACACTGAGTGTCATTTAATCATTGGCCAGGCTAGCAACATGCGTGCTAACTGTAACAGTAACATGTCTCTTTATGATATATAATTATAAACAATACAATACTGTAAATAAGCACCTAGTGGAGTGATTTATGACTTTAGGTGGTCTACATGCACTCCAGCATTGTTGTGATTATTGGCTTTATTAATCTCAGCTAGCTCACAGCCAGCTAGCTAAACACAGGCTGCAAGACAATCTTATAAACTGACAGGACATGCACGGAACAGTCCAAGCAAGCCGCTAAACGCCAATAGTACAACATAGTCGTTTGGAGGTTATGAGCGTCTATACGGAGTTTTGGCTGTTTATGGAGCATTTGGAGGCAAAGGGCTTAAGTGTCTCTTACCTTTAACAAATTAGACGTCGCCATGTTTCCTTAACTTATCCCCTCGTCCGGTCTCGCGAGATTTGCTTCGGTATTGGAACTAGTGATGAGAATGAATACTTTGAGCAGTTAGCTTCTAATAACCTCGTCTAAAATCGTGTAGTGAACATTTGTGTTTCGATTTCGTTTACTAAAACCAACCTCGTCATACATATGTGTAAATAAAAACTTAATGTGCGCTGTAAACAATTATTAATTACATTTTATTAGTAGCATTTCATAATTTAGCCAGAATAAAGGCATTGATTCACCACAAAAGCTAACATATTTACACCCATCTCTTCAGTTCAGTTTGTTTTAATTTCAAGACAAATAGTTTTTATAACTTAGACATAAAAACACTGTGACATCAAAAATGAGATCATAATACAAACACCAGTACTTTAAATGAACGTCCATAGCCTCATTCAATAGGAATTGTCCAAAATGGTTCTTCTTGATTAGGCTGCACTCGTGTAACCATTGGTTTCATGTTAAATTTATTTACTCACCCTCAGATCATTCATAAAGCACGTAACTTTTTTTCTTAAGGAGTAGCCTATGTAAAAGATGACATTTACAGTGACCTGTAACTGGACACTGACATTTTGAAAGTCAAAAAGCAAACAAAGAAACTAACAAAGTTTTATGATGTGAAATATTGCCATCCCTGAACATTATTTACTTACAACATTATAATTTTGAATGAAATAATTTTGAACGATAACTTTACAAGCCAGACTGGTAAAAACAGGTGAGTTTTTTCTTCAAAAGTGCATCTTTTTGCGGTTATAGGCATCATTTAGACTACTATTTAATTAAGAGATTTAAATATTGCAATTTAGTGACATTTTAAGCACTAATTTGGCTAAAATAGATTGTTGAATGGGTAACATTACCAAAAAAAGTACATTTGAAAATTCATAGATAACAACAATTTGCTAAATATTTCACATTCATTTTAATATTGGTCGCTTTTGTTGCTTCACGCCTTTTTATTGGTCATTGTTTGATTCAAAAATAAGGTTTTGATTTAGAATAAAAGTTACTTGTAAAGTATCTTCTCTATTTAAAACAAAACAATAGCGAAAGATGACTTCACTTATGTCAGATTGTATGTTTTCTTGCACAGCTGGATGCTGACCTCTGAACTTGTGTGCATTGGCCAAAACTAATTATCTGAAGTCAGCCCAAAGCGACAGCCAACAGCGGATTCCGCTTGGTCTTAAAATCTTTTTCAATGGGTTATTTTCACTATTTATGATGGCATATACAGTCAAAATAGGACAAATTACAGTAGCTCATGTATGGGACAAATTCTGGACCTTTGTCAGTGAGGGGTGGGTATGGCTACAGGCCCGAGTCAGGATATTGCAAGCTTTTTGTCTCATAAAGACATTGATCATGCCAGTCAGATCTATTAGCAGTCAACTGAGATTGTACACACTCATAAAATCTACAAGTAGGCCTACAATTTTGATAAACAACATATCACCTTTCTGTCCATTGTAAACAAATAGCATCAGCTCATTGACTGAAACACAATCAGGCAAGGTCTCAAATATCTTAGTGCTGTTACATAATTATTCATTCATTCATTAATTTTCCTTCAGCTTAGTCCCTATTTCAGAGGTCACCACAGCGGAATGAACCACCAACTAGCATACTCTATGTGTTTAATGCAGAAGATGCCTTGCAGCTGCAACCCAGTATTAGGAAACACACTCATTCACGCTCATACACTAAGGCCAACTTAGTTTATCAATTCACAAATACCGCATGTCTTTAGACTGTGGGAGAAACCAGAGCACCCAGAGGAAACCCACGTGAACATGGGAAGAAAATATAAACTCCACACAGAAATGCCAACTGACCCAGCTGGGGCTTGAACCAGTGACCTTCTGGCTGTAAGGCAACAGCGCTACTCACTGAGCCATCATGCCGCCTGTTACATAATTACACATAATATAAATATTAGTGTTTTTTTTTTTTTTCTTTCTGCATATTTTACTTACAAACAGATCTGTTTTCACGATAATTGTTTGTTAAAGATGTGGGATAAAGCTAATAATGATTTAATAAAGCAAAACTTTTAGCTTCAGAAGACATAAATGCATCGTCATGAGCTGCAAGTATTAATTTTGTGTTAACTGTATATGTTGTTTTGACTCTCAAAGTGCCAGTAGCCATCGGCTTACATTTTACAAATTACCAACTAATCACATTGTCTGCAGAACACACAACGTCACCTTCATCTTAGATGGTCTGATGATGAGTAAACTAACGTCAAACTTAACTATTCCTTTCTAACCCGTTGGTCAGATGCAATTCTAAACATAGCTAGACACGTGAGAACTCTAAATAAGTTCATTTCACATGACCAGGTATGTGTGACTGTTAATGTCTAAACATCGAGAGGAGGTGGTTGACCAGTTTAATTACTTTATTTGTAGTTTTAATAGAGTATGGTCTCTTTTCTGGTCTCCCAGCATGATCAGGTTGGTTGCATGGTATGTATTGGTTGTAAGAAGACATTTAAACACATTTCAGCTTGAAATGTCTGTCAACCAGTCAGTCAAACACCACATTGAATAGGGTCAGGAAATCAGGTAAAAACTGACTTTTTCCTGCAACCAATATGTTGATGCTGATGATTCACTTAAAATTTCTTTGACTTTAGTTTGTGAATTTTGGAGCATCAATAAATCTGAGCTTAATTTCTGCATGCACATCCAGGAATATCCCCTCATCAAGGGATACTAAGGATTTAAATTGACTTAAATACAGTCATTTTCTTCAATTTTTTTCTGGACATACAATATTAAACACAATTGCTCAATAAAAACCTTTCTTAATGCAACACTGAAAAAACAACAACAATATGTACCAGATTTAACTTTAACTCAAAAACAACAATGACACAAACTTAAGCAAGATAAATCAGTGCACATGGTTTCTCTTTGAAGATCTTCAGTCTTGATTCTGTGTTTGATCCACTTTATGGCGGCGGCGAAAAAATCCACACTGGAATTGAAATCACATGAGAGTCAGTGCATGCCAAAATAACGATTATGTTTGGAATTACATACCATCTTGTGAGCCTCACTATACATATAAACACAATGTATATTTTAAGCAGATTCACTGACAAAGTTTAATGTTCCCTTGGCAAAGCTTAAAATTTAAAATAGTTAAAAAGTATGTTTTGGCATACCACTAGCATACTGCTGCACTTAGTTTCATCACACTGAAAGTATAATCCAGCAGGAGTTATAATTTAAATGTGCTAGCATGTTGTGAAACCTGCTGAAAATCCAGCATATTCTGGTAAGGTATATTTAGATGCTGGTGTGGTTTGGTTTGTGCTGGTTCTTGTTGTTCAACACTGACTACGCGACACTCCTGTGTAACTGAAAACTGGCAAAGAGGTAAGGTTCGGGTGGAGTAAGAGATGTCTTGCTGCTAGATGCCTGGTAGATGCCTTAGATCAGTATCAAACTCAATTCCTGGAGGGTCATAGCTCATAGCTCTTTGCTCCAATTAGGGTTGGAGCAAAGCTGTGCAGAGCTGTGGCCCTCCAGGAATCCAGTTTGAGGCCTATGTGCCTTGGATAATTTATTCAACACTTCATGAATTAACGTGACTTGTTTGTATTCAGACCACATGTGCTTGGTTGTATACTTTATTTTTAATTAATTGAGTGTTTACTGAGTTTGGTATTTTAAATAGGAATTTTAAATTTAAACACTAATTTCTTTTTAAATACTTCAAAGTCTGTGTTTGTGAATGCTATAGGCTATTTATGAAATCCAGGCATAGCATTTTATAGCCTAAAGCTGATCAATCTGATGGATTCTGAAGTAAATTAAAGTTATTGTTAAATTATATATATAGTTAATAAATTATTCTAACTAAAACAAATACATTTATAAGCTAAATTATATAAGAATATCCCTCATCAGAATAATGGAGGCCAGAATTGATTGATATTTGATAATTGTAAGAAAATAGTCTCCTAATAGACTGTGTAAAGCCACATAAAACAAATAAACGAATACTATGCCAAATTCAGGGACTTGAGTTAAGTGAGGTAATGTTATGGAGAGCAACAGATTCCTGTTTTTGTTCCAGGCTGTAAACACCTTTTTCTGCTATAACCTTGGACATTTTAACAAAGGAGTCTATTGGGATTTAGACAAGTTGAAGCCAACATCTAGTAGCTAGTTGCTGCTAGGTCCTGAGAAGCAAAAACCAGCATCAAAACATATCATACCAGCATATTGTGTGTTTTTTTTTTTTTTTACACGTGAAACACGAAATAACAAGTTTAAGAATGTTTTTAACATGTTAATATCATGTTGTTAACATTTTAGCACAATATCATGTTCTCACACAATGCATCACTACTACATTTAATCTTTGCTATGATGTTAGTAATAATTGAGGTTGTTAGCATGTTTTAACATAATGCTAGAAACTGATCATGATGCTAGCATGTTTTTTTTTTTTGAAGCATAAAGCATTATTGCTGAAATGATTCTAACATGTTTATTTTTGACTGTCATTATTTAGCATTAATTAGCACAAAATCATTTCCTACCTAAAGAACAATGCAATAGCATGTGGGAACAAAAAGGAAATGAACAAGTTTACCTTGATGAGGATGATGATGAAGATCAAAAGGAACAGAAATCCACCTATGGATCCTCCAATGATGGGGCCTTTCGATGTCATCACTTGCATCTTGGTAACCGGCACCTCCAACTGTATTGCATCAGTTGAACTATCAGTCCCCAAATATTGTTAACATGATTAAAGAATGGAAAATGGCACTCACAGTAAAGCTTTTTATAGTATCCTTTGCAGAATAGAGGGTCTCATCATAGCTGTATTGACCTTCAACAATGATCTTTTCTGATGTGTCCTGTTGGTTGGAGAGTGTTTAAATGAGCAACAGTTTGTTGATGCACAAGACTATATTCAACACATGCTCATTGGGAAAACATACCCCTGTATATATTTCTGGAGAGTGCAAATTATGTAGCCAGAG